TGAAGGTAAATGGCCCAGTAGTTTCAGAGGAGAATTTTTAAATGTTAGCAAACTTGATGAACAAATTGTGTAAAATTGTCTTTAAAGGGCAATAACTCCTTAAGGGGTCAGTTGACAATTGTGGTCATAATAACTTTTTTGTAGATCTTACTTTGCTTAACATTATTGCTGCTTACAGTTTATATATATCTATAATAATATTCAAAATAATAACAAAAAAACTGCAAAATTTTGTTAAAACTACCAATTCCGTGGCAGCAACCCATCAATGGGTTGTTCGATTCGTCTGAAAATTTCAGAGCTGATAGATCTTGACCAATTGAACAATTTTACCCCATGTCAGATTTGCTCTAAAAGCTTTAGTTTTTGAGATATAAGCCAAAAACTACATTTGACCCCTATGTTCTATTTTTAGCCATTGCGGCCATGTTTGTCAATGGATCAAAACTTCGGATACAATTTATAAACAAGTTACCCTAAAGAACATTTAGTTAAAGTTTGAAGGTATTTGGCCCAGTAGTTTCAGAGGAGAAGATTTTTAAATGTGAGCAAACTTGATGAACAAATTGTGTAAAATTGTCTTTAAAGGGCAATAACTCCTTAAGGAGTCAGTTGACAATTGTGGTCATATTAACTTTTTTGTAGATCTTACTTTGCTGAACATTATTGCTGCTTACAGTTTATATATATCTATAATAATATTCAAAATAAAAACAAAAAACTGCAAAATTTTGATAAAACTACCAATTCGGTGGCAGCAACCCAACAATGGGTTGTTCGAATCGTCTGAAAATTTCAGAGCTGATAGATCTTGACCAATTGAACAATTTAACCCCTGTCACATTTGCTCTAAAAGCTTTAGTTTTTGAGATATAAGCCAAAAACTGCATTTGACCCCTGTGTTCTATTTTTAGCCATGGCGGCCATGTTTGTCGATGGATCAAAACTTCGGATACAATATATAAACTAGATACCCTAAGGAACATTTAGTTAAAGTTTGAAGGTATTTGGCCCAGTAGTGTCAGAGGAGAAGATTTTTGAAATAGTGTACGACGACAGACGACGACGGACGTCAAGTGATGGCATAAGCTCACATGGGGCCCTTCCAGCCCTGGTGAGCTAAAAAAGTGAGGAAACTGAGTTGCCGGACTGACGGACGGACAGACAGATACAGTGCAAACCTAAAGTCCCCTTCGACTTCATTGGTAGGGGACTAATTTGTCTTTCAAGGGCATTAACTCCTATGAGGGGTCAATTGACTATTCATCCATGTTGACTTATTTGTAGATCATACTTTGTTGAATAATTTTAACCATCAAAAGATTCTCTCTATCAACTCAAGTTTCGTAAAATTGCAAAAAGGGCAAGAATCATCATTTAAAATTTAATTCCTGTAAGGGATAATTTGACAATTACTGCCAAGTTGACATCTTTACACTTAATCCATTGGATGTTATATGTGTTCTGATTGATATTTTAGGCTTAGATATATGATTTTGTTATTAGTTGTTATTGGCTTTGAACTAGCTTTCATTAACTGCAAGTACTCTCAGACAATATTCTGACTGTGTGTGTGCATGTGTTACCACAGATCCACAAGCCATGGATATAATCTGTAAAGTCTATGGTGATGCATGTTCTATAGAGTTGTTATGAAAGGGGCTGGCCTAATATAAATAGACCATAACTGTTTAGTGTCTTTAAATATCAGCTGTATTTGTACGAGGCTAAGAAACAGGTGTAATGCGAGCTTCAGCTAGCTGTTACTCCTGTTTCAAGTTGAGTATAAATACAATTATCCTGCAATTAATTTTGTACATTTTTTTTCCATCCCAATCGTTATATTTGTTTTTGAAAGAAATCGACATGACTTAAACGCGGAAAGCAATGAGGACCCCAAATTGAACAATGACGTAAACAGTAATTTGACATAACCGTTCGCTCGCAACAGAAGCAGGATACCAGGAGACTATATACGTCTAATTTACGTATATCGCTTCGTGTTATCTGTACATCTGTATTAGTACAGTAGAAAGGTCGATTGCAGGATAAAATTTAAGGAAAAGATAAGCACTAAACAAATATATAATATCACATATGTTTTATTGACAATATATTTTAACAATGATTTGTCAAATACATGTACACTGATGTACAGCAAGGTTTTTGATAAAATGATGCAACAATAAGAAAAGTGGATTTGATCTCATAAAAACACAAATGTAAAGAAAAATTTTCATAGAAAAGAGTGATTTAGTACAACCATTTGCTCATCTGTAAAAACAAATACTGTATGACTTACAAATAAATTTTGTCTAAATTTAAAACAATAAGAAATTCTTAAAAAAAAACCACACCACTTTCTTTATATCTGTAAATGTAACATTTAAACATAAGCACATGTACATTTCCTAGCTTATAATTAAAGCTAAGCTGATTTGTTGTTTCCTTACTTATTGTTGGTTTTCTAAATATTTGTAATCAATTGCTTCAACTATCTTTTAAAAAATTACATGCATAATTAATACATGAAGTGTTTATTTATACATATACATGATGATGTTAACTTAATTTTTCACCTGATAATAAATAAATCCTCTCTCTTATGCAGAAGATATGCTATATTACTGGACAAGGCAGGAATTCATGTCATAATACTTTTTAAAAATATTAAATTTCTCATACTTCAGAAAAAAAAATTAAGATAAAAAGTCTTATCAATTCACACTTGTGATAAAAAAGTTGAGAACAAATATCTGTGTCAGATGTGGTTGTCTCCCTTTGTCCTTTTCTCATATCATCACAATCGTACCTGGAATTTGTTTTTGGAGATTAAATGACAAAGATAAATGTATTGAAAAGGCTGAACTGTGTTCCTGTATTCAGAACATTTGTACTAGTGTATTACCTATTTTAAAAATACAAATGTTTGAATGATGTCAAAAAATTGTAAAAAGTAATAATATCACATGATTAAAGGTTAAAGTTTATCAGTATACAGGTAATTTGTTAGACCTTGAAAAACATTATATAGTTAGCACCATTACATAATGCCTTTTCATTATAAAACATGTACAAATAATCATAATTAATACCAGCGGCAGATCCAGGTAGGGAGGGAAAGGGGGAGGGGGGAATGTGTACAACCCCCTTTGATCGGCCCAAAATATAATTATATCATGCTTTCCACAATTTATAGGATTTTTTTTAGCATAAAATCGTCCAAAACAATTTCAGCATATAATCTGTTTTATGGAATTACACCCCCTTTCAATAAAAAAGTGAGTTAATATCTGAACACGTACACTGCCATACTGAAAAATTTCATGCCATGTTTTCATGATCTATTTTCAAGATTTTATTTCTGATGTTTTTCATATTTTGTATTTTGAATACATTTTAATCAATGTGTTATTTGCACCCAATCAGGAAAACTTCTGGTATTTTAATTTGGTGAGACCAGAAGTCAAAAACATTTTCGGTCCATATATAAGTTAGTCTAGGCATGTTGTACGATCACCACCCATGTGAATTAATGCCAACAAAATGTTCTGGTTTACAGAGTCTGAAACGAACCTTTGACTTTGAACATAAAAGTTTTACAGTGTATCTTGAACGTTTTCAATATGAATACTGCAAATCCTTGAATTCCAAATGAGACACAATAATATGTATTAGAAGCATACAATTAGGTTTAATTAGACATGAATAAAATCAACAATCATATGAACTTACAAGTTTATAAAATCATCTGCTTTAAAGTAAGCAATGACATAATGTACACAAGTATATAACATTTACACATTGAATTTCGTTGTTGTTTTGTTTACCTTAAATAGTAGATACTGTAATTTTACTTTTTTCTAGTGTTTCTATATTTCATTTTATGTAATTTAAATACAAATGGAAGCCTACAGATATTCATGTTTGGTATTTAAACTCATAATTAAACATTACATAAACAATTGAATTCATCTGACCTGATTAAGAACTTGTGAAAATTTGGGACTGTCATCAAAGTGGGCTATTGGTCTGTAAATTACATCTCTCTTCTAATTTTTTACAGAAAAGCCTGTACTAAGTCAGTAATAACTAATATTGCAATTACTCTTCAGATCTTAAGACTAATAGATCCCAGTGATTTCTGTCAGTTTTAATATGCTTTTTATTTTTAAATCACACATAGTAAAATTGATACCGGTATTTTCTTTTGAAAAAATGAAAAACAAATACACTTCAAAAAAGTAAAATCCCTTTACATTAGTAAGTTAAAAAAAGACTATTTTTATCAAACAATGAACACAGCAAAGATCTAACTCCCTTCTAAAGCCCAAACCGTAAGCACTGCAAAATAACCTAATATAGGGTTTTCATGTCAATGCTAGATATTTGTTGATTAAAAGTAAGTATATCAACTTGTGCATGTGCATTAAAGGTGCAATCTTTGGTATTCTTGTTGTTCCTATTTTTTAGACATCTAAACAAGGTTTACACAACAAAACATATAATCTGCCTCTGTTTGCAAAAAATTCCAAAGAAAATTGACATTTTGCTTTCATGGCGTCCTTTGATTTTTCAAGGATTGTTGCCTCGTTGGAAATCACACCACATCTCCTTATTTTCATATAGTTCTAGAATCTTAATGAAAACGGAAACTTACAGAAACTGCTCCTTTATAACAATTTCAATGGACAAAGTACAACATTTCTTACTCTTCATTGTTCATTAAACATGGTACCTTTTAGCATCCAAGACCAATCAAGCATCAAGTTTTGTTTTAAAAGTACATTTAATATTATCACTATTTAACCATGGTTTTACATTCCTACCACCTTCTATTTGGATATATAATCTCTCTATTTTTTATATCATAAATAGAGTAACTTGTAACACACATAAATTTTTAAAAACATTAAAGAAGGAAGACCTGTCAACAACAAAGATGGCTAGTGTACATGTTCTTCTCCAATCAGGGAAGGAATACATAAACAAATATTACATAAAAGACCAAAATTAATAATCTTTATTTATTGAATACATGTCCCAGTATTTGATCTCTGATTCCAATATCAATCATGTTTAATTGTTAGTATTAGTTAACTGTTATACTGTATGATTGTATATATGAACAAAATGAGATGTATCCCTGCAATGTGAAGCTTTAGCAATAGTTGTTCCTGTACATGATATATATATTCATGATGAATATCAGAACCCGACATTTCCAATATCTTATTATCTATATAATGTACAAATTTTAGGTGGGTGTAACAATAAATAAAATTATAAATACATAATCATGATAATAAATCTTACCATGAGATGCGTTAACACTTGGTTGATATAGGCATATAAAATGGAAAACCTATTGATTTAAAAACATGAGAAGGATTTGCATTAGCATGATTGTATCTAAATTTTAAATGAATTCTGGATTGCACATCAAATGATAGCATTCCTCGTCTGATTAAAATCCTCTACATTGCTTCCATTTGTCATCAGAAGAACAATTAAATAAAAAGCTTCCTAGTGATAGCAAATTAATGAAAAACATATGAATGATTTCAAATATTAAAGTCAGATAAAAAAATTAATTACAGCATCCTGACTGTTGAGCTTTTGATTTTTTACGCAAGTCTACAGAATTTCCATGCGATGGTTTCATTTCTACAAATTCTTCAAGTTGTCTTATCCTTCGTATTGCAGCTTTAAATGCTTCTTCTACATTTGTTGAATCTTTGGCACTTGTTTCAAAATATGGAGTTTGTCCATTGTTCGCACACCATTCCTTCCCATCACTTTCTGGAATGCAACGATTGTCCACATCAACTTTGTTTGCCAGAATAACAAAAGGAAAATTATTCCCATCTTCAATGTCAGCATAGTATAAAAACTCTTTCTTCCACATAGATAAATTTCTAAAACTTTGCATGTCATCTACAGCAAATGTCAACAAACAACAATCAGCTCCTCTATAAAATGGCGTTCGTAAACTTTTAAATCGTTCCTGGCCTGCCGTGTCCCAAATCTGCATTGTGTAATGCTCTCCATCCGCTTCTACATCTTTATTAAGGAATTCAACACCTATCGTGTGGAAAGATTGAGCATCAAACTTGTTGCTTACAAATCTATTCATTAAGGAACTTTTACCAACACCTCCATCTCCCAGGAGAACAACCTTTAACAGCTTGGATTTACCAGACATTTTATGCAAAATAACCTACAACATAAACAGAAAAACAAATTTAAATGATGAAATGTTTTACTAAAGGTGAAATTATATGCTGCTGTAATAGATTCTATTTACAAGTGACTCAATAAGGTGGGGAGAGGGCAGGGATATAAGCATACCTCTACCACAAAGGTTGGTCTTTTTAAACTTGAATTATTTTTTGTATGGCTGAGTTGCAAACATTTATGTATATACATATAAGTAACATTTAATCTAAATTACCTTTATGACAGTTGCATATATTTTGTACACATGCATTGCATTATTACTGTTTAAGTAGATGATACATGTACATGTATGCCTCCCTTTGTGGGATTTTCTCGCTGCGTTGAAGACTCACTGGTAGCCTTGAGTAGTTTTCTGCTCTTTGGTCAGGTTGTGTCTCCTTGACACATTCCCCATTTCCATTCTCAATTCAATAACATATACAATAAATACACTTTCATATTGCACTAAACAGATGCTGATCCAGGATTTTGAAAAAGGGGGGGGGGGGGGGTGCCCATGGGCCTCCAAACTAGACAAAATTTGTAGTGAAAACAGTAAAATGTCTGGATTAACCAAAAATAAAGCACCCCTCATCTTATTTTATGGGTATATATATATAGGTGAACCACAAATTTAAATGTTCAACGATGTGCAAATTTTCTATAGGCTTGTATGCAGACTTTGGCAAAACAACTTAATCAAATATCCATGCAAGCGATGTTTTTCCCTTAATCCACAGTAGCGAAAGGAAAGAGGTACATACATAGCAACTCTTTGAATGACTTCTTTGAATATGATAATGCATAGGTTTTTTCTATTTATAATTATATGTGCACCAGTCCATTGGAATTAAATGTTGAAAATTCACTTATAAGAAAAGTTTTATTTGTGACAAAAAAAATCATGAATCCATGACAAACCTGGCATATTTATGTAACTAAACTTGAAAAAATAACTCACTCATTTTAATGTCAGTAAAGGTTGTTCCATAAATATATAACATACATGGGACAACAGGAAAGCACTTTTAACTCTCAAATATGGTTTGGTGTCAAAATTTTTTTGTGTACAGGGAAAATGAAAGGGGAATTCTACAATTCACTCTATAGGTAATTAAGATAATAAGATAATAATCTAGGTCATTCACATGCCCATGATTCCATACATGTAGGTGTCCTAGGGTAACAAATGTTCATGATTAAACGAACTCACCTCTAAATTACTAACTATATTTAATGCTGAATATTGGTTTCCCTATATAACCTGAAAAATATGAAAACATATATGAACTTAACATACATGTACATGTATCTGCTACAATTTATCTATCATTGTGTCTATAGATCTAAACTATGAACAACTATATTGTAGGCTATTTCCCCTTATTTATGGTTATTATGGCTTATTATCAATTAAATATTATGCTGATATCTGTTTTGTTTGCACCAGCGAGAGAGTTTCAAATACACATATAAAAATTCCAAGAATTAATTTCTGACAGGTAAATGAAACATTTAAAAAATATATCTCATACTTTTTCCCTACAGATCTTCAGAGTGAATTTTTTTTGGGGGTCTGGTATGCAAGGTATACAAGCTTATTCGGTGATTTTCAGAAATATGCAACTAAATAGTGCAAAAATTGCTAAAAACTCCGGCCTTTTCAGGCATGACTAAAATGTTTTCAAAAGAGTAGATTAATTTTATAGAACACTGAAATTTATGACAAAAGGTGTACAGTGTATGGCTAAACACACATTGTACAAATGGCCAATATAAGGTGTACAAGAAATCATAATAATAATCTAATATTTTGTGAACTATAAATTTGATATGACTTTTTAAATCTAACAATCATACTTTTAGAATATACTTTTATATCTAAATAATTTTCATGACCATGCATACATTTTTTTTTGATAATTTTATTTATCGCTATTTTGTGCATTTTTACTTTGATCTTTTTTGGTGATAATTTTTCATATCATGCTACTCGCTTGAGATGAAAAATTATCGTCAGAAACTAAGAGCGCATGTGACGTTGTCAATGTAAACATGAACGACCTCATAGGCAAAATAGCGATAAACAGATTATCAATGGCCTTTCAAACTCGAGGATGTTTCTCAGCCACATCTCATCTCAGGGCTGTCACCCTTCGATGAGATTGTAGCTGAGAAACACCCTCTCGTTTGAAAAACCATCAATAATCTATAAGTATGTAATATATACAGGTCTATGTATGTATGAACATTGTCAAACTCAATTTACATGTACCACTAAAAAAGTAAATATGCAGTTACAACAGCATTGTTACATAAATGTATTTGCATTAATGGCACATGGTATACATATACACGTAAGATACAAAACCCATTTCCATTTTAAAGTAAACAATATCTCAAAATAGCCTGAACTATAGAAATAAATTTTAAAATGGTAGTTAGAGGACAATATCATGGCTTGTACAGTTAAGTTGAATACATGCAGTGTTCTCCCCAGTATTTTCAAATGGTATTATAGGATTTCAAAAAGTACTGTTTCTCTAAAATTGACTCATGCACTAGCCTGAGAACCCTGAATCTATTATAAAATCTATTCAGATAGCATCATGGTGCTTTAATGCTGTTGAGATTACACTGTACACATATTTCTAAAAGTTTGCAGTAACTATACCTGATGCTTGTGAAAATTTGTATAACAGAATCCTTGTTAAAAATTCAATCAGTAATTTAGATGAAACAAAAAATATCCCTTTATATGGAATGCTTTATAAATACAGGAGAAATAGTACTCATATGAACTAATCATTACATAATTTATGAGTGATGTAACATTTCTTTCATTTACTTATAACCCTGGAGAATAAATAATCATGTTTTAGTCATTACTTGCAAGTCTAAGAACTTCCACTTATGGGAACAATAAATATTAACACCTATATTTAGGTCAATCAATATATACATGCAATAGAAAATTAAATTACCAATGAACTATAAAAGTACAAATGTATAGATCATGTACATAAACCAAAATATAAAGTTTCCTAATATTTTTTTAGTGCTGAATAGCTTAGCCTTCATTCAAATGAAATTCAAAACTGTAAATTCAGAAATTATTGTGATGTTTTAATTAATGCTTAAATGCTACAGTACCAGATTTGCAATAATAAAAACTATCATGATTTCAGTAGTGATTTTCTAAATGACAAAATTTTTGCGATCTCGTTCTTTTACCAGTAATAAGTGATTCGCAATGATAAATGCATGCATTAATTTCTGAATTTACAGTACACTAAACACAGCTGAATTAGAATTTCACATATACATACTGTATATATGTACTGCAAATTCAGAAATTATTGCAAAGATTTTATTAATGAGCATAATGCACTTGGTCGAGAATCGCAATAATAAGAACTCACATTCCAATATCTGATACATCTACAGGATCTATATGCAGTTTATCTTGAAATCACAATATTTTATCTCACATTTTAGTCCATTCTTTAAAAGTCGCAATAATAAATGCATGCAAGTTACTGAATTTACAGTAACATAAATCAATATATTTCTGAAGACTGTTCACAAGGTCTTTACAATAAATCTGTTGGATGTATATATACTAAGTTTATATATATATATATTATAAATATGTTTTATTTATAAGTAGTAATTGACATTGAAATAGCTTTCAGTAATTGTGTGTACTCTTAAGTAAATATGTACTTTTTGTCTTTGTTTTTAGTTTTTCTGTGCCTTTCCTGGCTATCTGAGTTGTTCCAACAGATTTATACGCTTTGTTCTTGTGTTGCGCTGTTACACTACTGTCCCAAGTAAGGAGAGGGTTGAGCCCTAACGAACATGTTTCACCCCACCACATTCTGTATGTGCCTGTCCCAAGTCAGAAGCCTGTAATTCTATGGTTGTTGTTGGTCATGTTGCCAACTTGGTTGCTGCCTGTCATTTTTGTTTTGATTTATTGTCTGTTGTTATATTAGGTCCATGAATTTTCTGGCTTGAATTGTTTTACATTTTATAATGTTGGGGCCCTTGAAAGCTTACTATAAGGTACCAATATGTCAGTTTTCTTGGATCCAAATCAGCCCCCTATGTGTGGTCAGAGCTCGAGGTAAAATGGGATGCAAAACACTAAATAACGCTTGTAATACATACATCATCATCATTATATATTGCTCTAAAAGGAATTCTGGTGTCTTTTGGTGGTTAAATACCATTCATTTATTTTAAACTAATGAGCATTAAATAATGTTATACTTTGCATACTTGTAGTTTTATATTTTACAGGGTGAACGAGATAACTTTCGGTGAAAGAAAAAAAGAGTCAAACACCTAATAAATATATGATTACATGGGAAAGTTCAAACTTTTTTAAGCCCAACTTAATTGCAAAGTTTAGTCTGCATACGGCCAGACACATGGTGCCACTGATAGCATGGGGCAAAGCATGTGTCGAACAACAGGCACTAAAGTCTGGTCTCTTAAAAAATATATCTATAGGTATATACAAAAGTTACATGTCTATAGGTATTTTTTTTTCAGACAAGTGACCATGGGTCAGACGATCAGGCTGTTGCCTGTCGGACTTATAATAGGACTGTCAGACTGTTGGACTATAGAACTGTCGGATTATTAGAGACTGTCAGATCTTACCCCGTAAGGATAAGCCTTTGATCAGTCTTGTGCATGATTTCATAAATATGATAAAGGAGGTCGCTTATGGAATCACCACATTCATTCACTAACTCTACTGTACAGTAGTCAGTACAATTGTACATTTGCATTTCATGTGTGATCTAGAGGTCTGACCTGAGAAAGCGATTGTTGTGAACCGACCCCGATTCTTTCTTGCAAACTGATCATGCTGATAGCTTGAACAGTTGTAACATGTAGCAAGCCCATTATAAATTTGGCACAGTGTGTGTGTCTATTGCAAAGTACGGTACATTTATATATCTCATAAACATGTAAGAATTGTTACCTTGCTGAATATACATGTTATATTTCCAACTGGACATAAGATGTATACGAAATCAAGGATTTGTATAGTGATATACAAATCCTTGTCTTAATATACATATGTTACCCTATTTCTGACACTGTCTCCCCCTTTTTCTATAAAAAGACAGTTTTGTCATTGTCATGGAATGTACTGCTCATGCATGAGAGCATATTTTACTTTGCATTTTACTCATGTTCAACGCCTTTACCTAATGTAGATAATTCAATTGCTGGCTTCTCCAACTACTGCTCTACATCTTCTCTTTCTTTGACATGGCTGTCAAAATATGACGTCAGCTGGAATTCATCATGTGATCATCATGCGGATATTACTTCCGGTTGTTGCGAAGGACGCGTAAACAAAGCCACGTGGTAGACCTTTCTTATCGTTTTTTATTACAGATTTAGCAATTGAAGCACCAACTTGAAAAGGCAATATGAAAACATCTCGATCAAACCTTTATGACTAAACTAATTAGGCTTTAATTATATTTTTTAAAACCGTAACCATAACAGTGTCGATCCGTATCCCAACGGATTTTAGTCATTGCAATCTTGGTTACCAAGACGCTATATTTCCATTTTGAACTGCCTTCAAAATCCTTTTAAAGTTTTGTAATCTGGTAATTCGCAATCAAACAAAACAAGGAATACCAAGTAGAAAATACCCAAAGTAATTACATCGCTGTAAGATAGGCTGTTGACAGTTAGATCAGAAACTTAGAAAGGAAACATATTCATATGTCTTTAAAGACTAAAGTTGCAGGTTCTTGAAACATATACATTTTTGATGTTTCAAACAAAGCTTAAGCTATTTTTGGGCAAGTCAAGCAATGGCAAAGAAATCATTTTTATTTAATTTGATCCATTCACTTTTTGGGAGTTGAGGTGTCATTACCTCAACGCTATTTGTCGCCCATTCCTAGATAATATGAGGCAGTGGTAGGTTCTACCTGATTAGTCCAAATAATTATTAAAAGATTATGAGCAAATCAGCCTTAATACGGATAAATCAGCATGTGCCATACTGATGACATCCCCCTGTTGAAATAAATCCTGGATAAATATTGCTTTTCGGGCTTTCGACTGTCTCCAATATGGGAAAAAGAGGTATTTGACCGGACTGAAAAACAATAAAGGATTTTTACTTCTGATTGCAATTTTTTCGGTACCTCGAATGACCTAATAACACCGTTATTATCAGAATAACACTTGAAATGACCGAATAACACTTGAAATTTTAATATTAGCACATTTTGGTGACTTTTAAACATTGATTAATAAATAATAGTATATTATTAATGTATTTTATAACTTAAAAATGATTTACAGAAAACAGGTAAGTTCATAAAGATTATTTTAAATGAAGTGTGTACATCCAACATGGCGACCAAGGAAATCACAATGGTCGCCATGCTGGATGTACACACTAAATTTAAAACGATCTTTATAAACTAACCTGATTTCTGTTAATCATTTTTAAGTTATAAAATACACTTATAATATAATATTATTTAATAATCACTGTTTAAAAGTCAACAATATGTACTAATATTAAAATTTCAAGTGTTATTTGGATAATAACGGTGTTATTCGGTCATTCGTGTTACCCCAATTTTTTTACACTTCACCAAATTTTGGATGTATTTAAAAGAGATGAATCATTTTTATACGACCGCAAAAATTGAAAATTTTTTGGTCGTATTGGTATGACGTTGGCGTCGTCGTCGTCGACGTCGTCTGGCGTCGTCCGAAGACACATTGGTTTTCGCACTCTAACTTTAGTTTAAGTGAATGGATCTCCATGAAATTTTACCATAAGGTTCGATACCACGAAAGGAAGATTGGGATTGATTTTGGGGGTTATGGTACCAACAGTTAAGGAATTAGGGGCCAAAAAGGGGCCAAAAATAAGCATTTTTGTAACTTCCAGACAATAACTTGTGTGTAAGTGTATGGATCTCTCTGACATTGTACCACAAGGTTCCATATCACAAAGGGAAGGCTGTAATTGATTTTGGGGGTAATTGCCTCAAAATTTTAGGAATTAGGGGCCAAAAAAGGGGCAAAAAACAAGCATTTTTCTAGTTTCATGACAATAACTTGTGTGTAAGTGTTTGGATATTTCTGAAATTGTACTACAAGGTTCCATATCACAAAGGGAAAGCTGGAATTGAGTTTGGGGGTAATTGCCTGAAACGTTTAGGAATTGGGGGCCAAAAAGGGGCAAAAAATAAGCATTTTTCTAGTTTCCAGACAATAACTTGTGTTCAAGTGTATGGATCTCTCTGAAATTGTACTGCAAGGTACCATACCACAAAGGGAAGGCTGGGATTGAGTTTGGGGGTGATGAATCTTAAGGGGGTTCAAAAAATTTGGGGGGGGGGGATTTTTTTTTTTCTTTTTTTTTTCTTTTAAAATTTTCCATTTTAAGTTGGTTATTTCTGATTAATATTTAAAAGCAAATAATAATCACTACAAAAGTCAAAAACTCTGAAAAGACCAGTTTTTGTCTGAATTTGCATGATTTTTACTCGACATTCTTAATTTGTCTGAATAATTTTTAAAAATTCTTGACATAGTATGAATTTGTCTAATAAGGTTCTTGATTTTCTTGACAAGTGTCTTGACATTATGAACATTGTCTTAAAATTTCTCTACACTTCCTGTATCATCTGATAAGAGTCTGGATTAGTCTCGACCAATTCTCGACTGTCTTAAATTTGTCTCGATCTGTCTTGACATATTCTTGACATTCTTAATAATGTCTGAATATGTCTCGACATATTCTTGACATTCTAAATAATGTCTGAATATGTCTCGACACATTCTTGACAGTCTTAAATATGTCTTGACACTATCTCAACAGTATAAATTTCGCCTGAAATGTGATCCGACTTATTCTGCACTGTTTATGACATTCTATTGCTGTTATATACTCCTTTTTATTATGGCTAAACTAAACTTTGAAGAATCAAGGATTAATTTGGTATAGTAAGATACCCTTTTGGTGCAACTAAGTTGGAATACCCTGAATAATCCCCCATGTAGTTTAATTTTGATTTATTTTTATTAAACATTTAAGTAATTGTTTTCACTTGGAATATAAGTCAAAGGTATTGACAAACAGCATTTAGATTTTTGCCGTTCGCAAAACTTCCAGTCAAATTTGCTTTACTAAAATAGGTGTCTTGTATCTCTTTTGGACCCCACAATTCATCTTTTGGGTTTGTGTGGCTAAAAAAAGAGGGGGGGGGGGGGGGGGGGCTTTCGTTTAGGTCAAAGAATTTGTTCCCATCTTGATTCAAAAACCTTATTCATTTTTTAGAACAACCCAAAAACATTTTTTATTCAAATTTGAGAGTTGAATTTTATAATTTTTTATCAAAAATAAATATTTGTGATAACTCCTTCCTAAAAAGAAAAAAATGTTTAGATCTATATTATGCATGTCTGTTTGAGAACCATTTCATAAGACCGATGATATCTATAGAAATCATTGATGGGACCCATTATAAATACATTTTTTTTTTATTATTCCTGGAGTAGATAATAATTTTCTTTTAATCTTTGGGAATTACTCAATTTGTTTTTATGTTAAAATAATTAACTTCATAATTTTGATGAAGAAAATCCATTTCAATTCAATTTTTTTTCATCAAAATGATGATTTTCATTTTCATCTATCAACAAACTTTTTTAAATTGTAGTGGCATGGTCTGTCAACTGATAAGTTGTATGGCTGATTACAGGTAAAGCAATAACTTCTATTTGACAGTTGCGTGTACTCTGGGGTGTGGAATACCTTAATTTTATGGGGAACATCCTGTCCATGTGTAATACTTAATATATTCCAACAGATGACATTACACAAATTTTTCTTCTGTTAAATGAATGATTTGTATATCATCATAATTTGCTATTTATATAAACCACATTTTGGTATAATAATTATTTAGCATATCAACATTGAATATTATGAATGTAGAATGAAATATGTCTACAGTATGATTGGTTTGAATCATTTAATTTATAAGATTTAGGAATCAAAATTTGTAATTGTTTAAAAACCCACATTGAAATTGTTTTATATCAACACACCCACATTTGAATTATTTTATACTTTAGATTTCATAGCCATATTTGCATTTATAAAAATATTTATATACCCAAATTTTCAATTATTTTACATGCCCAACTTTTATTTTTGTTGTAAAGAAGTGTAACTTGAAACAACAGTATATCATATAAAGAGAAATAAAGATTAAAGTTATATCATGAATATTGGTCATGATTTGTAAAACTCAGAACTGTCAAGTAAATTTAAGACACGATTCAAAATGTTCAGAATATGTCAAGCCATACTGAGAAAAAATAAGAATGTCGAGAATATGTCGAGAAATTTCAAGACAGTATTCAAATGTCAAGAATTTGTCAAGAAATTTTAAGACCATATTCAGAATGTCGAGAATATGTCGAGTAAATTTCATACAAATCTAATATAAATGAGAATTTGTCAAGAAAAATTAAGACACAAGTCATACTTTTGGAGAATGTCGAGTAAAAGTTCATGCAAATTAAGACAAAAACTGGTCTTTTCAGACTTTTAGACTTTTGTAGTGAATGATATGGTAGGAGATACACACCAAACAGGATGTGTAAATTATTATATAATAAGTATTGTGCAATAGCAAGAAATTTTCAATTGCACAGTATTGCACAATTGCAAGAAATCTTCAATTGCACAGTATTGCGCAATAGCAAGAAATCTTCAGTTGAACAGTATTGCGCAATAGCAAGAAATATCCAATAGCACAATATTGCGCAATAGCAAGAAATTGTCAATTGTACAGTATTGCACAATAGCAAGAAATATTCAATTGCACAGTATTGTGCAAAAGAAGATACTTCGTATAAATTGCTTATTTCTTGATCAATTTCAATGGGGTTTTATTCTTGAATTCTTGGAGTTCTTTAATATGCTGAATCTAACCGTGTATTAAGTTTTTGGATTTTGGGCCCCGTTTTTAAATTGGTCCACATTGAGGTCCAAAGGGTCCAAAATTTAACTTTGTTTGATTTCATCAAAAATTGAATTATTGGGGTTCTTTGATATGCCGAATCTAACCGTGTATTTAGATTCTTAATTTTTGGTTCCGTTTTCAAATTGGTCTACATTAAGGTAAAAAGGGTCCAAAATTAAACTTAGTTTGATTTTAACAAAATTTGAATTTTTAGGGTTCTTTGATATGCTGAATCTAAACATGTATTTAGATTTTTGATTATGGGCCCAGTTTTCAAGTTGGTCCAAATTGGGGTCCAAAATTAAACTTTGTTTGATTTCATCAAAAATTGAATATATGGGGTTCTTTGATATGCTGAATCTAAACATGTATTTAGATTTTAGATTTTTGGCCCAGTTTTCAAGTTGGTCCAAATTGGGGTCCAAAATAAAAGTTTGTTTGATTTCAACAAAAATTGAATATATGGGGTTCTTTGATATGCTGAATCTAACCATGTATTTAGATTTTTGATTTTTGGGCCCCGTTATCAACTTTGTCCACATTGAGGTCAAAAGGGTCCAAAATTAAACTTTGTTTGATTTCATCAATAATTGAATTCTTGGGGTTCTTTGATATGCTGAATCTAACCATGTATTTAGATTTTTTATTTGTGGACCCGCTATCAAATTGGTTCATATTGAGGTCAAAAGGGTCCAAAATTAAACTTTGTTTGATTTCATCAAAAATTGAATTATTGGGGTTCTTTGATATGCCAAATCTAACCGTGTATTTAGATTTTTAATTTTGGGTCCCGTTTTTAAATTGGTCTACATTAAGGTCCAAAGGGTCCAAAATTAAACTTAGTTTGATTTTAACAAAAATTGAATTCTTGGGGTTCTTTGATATGCTGAATCTAAACATGTGTTTAGAATTTTGATTATGGGCCCAGTTTTCAAGTTGGTCCAAGTTGGGGTCCAAAATTAAACTTTGTTTGATTTCAACAAAAATTGAATATATGGGGTTCTTTGATATGCTGAATCTAAACATGTATTTAGATTTTAGATTTTTGGCCCAGTTTTCAAGTTGGTCCAAATTGGGGTCCAAAATTAAACTTTGTTTGATTTCAACAAAAATTGAATATATGGGGTTTTTTGATATGCTGAATCTAACCATGTATTTAGATTTTTTATTTGTGGGCCCGCTATCAAATTGGTTCATATTGAAGTCAAAAGGGTCCAAAATTAAACTTTGTTTGATTTCATCAAAAATTGAATTATTGGGGTTCTTTGATATGCCAAATCTAACCGTGTATTTAGATTTTTAATTTTGGGTCCCGTTTTTTAAATTGGTCTACATTAAGGTCCAAAGGGTCCAAAATTAAACTTAGTTTGATTTTAACAAAAATTGAATTTTTGGGGTTCTTTGATATGCTGAATCTAAACATGTGTTTAGATTTTTGATTATGGGACCAGTTTTCAAGTTGGTCCAAGTTGGGGTCCAAAATTAAACTTTGTTTGATTTCAACAAAAATTGAATATATGGGGTTCTTTGATATGCTGAATCTAAACATGTATTTAGATTTTAGATTTTTGGCCCAGTTTTCAAGTTGGTCCAAATTGGGGTCCAAAATAAAACTTTGTTTGATTTCAACAAAAATTGAATATATGGGGTTCTTTGATATGCTGAATCTTACCATGTATTTAGATTTTTTATTTTGTAGGCCTGCTATCAAATTGGTTCATATTGTGGTCAAAAGGGTCCAAAATTAAACTTTGTTTGAATTCATCAAAAATTGAATTATTGGGGTACTTTGATATGCTGAATCTAAACATGTGTTTAGATTTTTGATTATGGGACCAGTTTTCAAGTTTGTCCAAGTTGGGGTCCAAAATTAAACTTTGTTTGATTTCAACAAAAATTGAATATATGGGGTTCTTTGATATGCTGAATCTAACCATGTATTTTGATTTTGGACATTGGACCATAATAGGTAAATTAAAAAAATTGAAGTTCTTAGACCACATTCTTTCTGTGTCAGAAACCTATGCTGTGTCAAATATTTAATCACAATCCAAATTCAGAGCTGTATCAAGCTTGAATGTTGTGTCCATACTTGCCCCAACCGTCAGGGTTCGACCTCTGCGGTCGTATCAAGCTGCGCCCAGCGAAGCATTTTATTCAATTTTAAATGACAAAAAAAAATAAAATTATGATCTGTTATTTGTTACAATTTAAAATGGAAACATTCCACAACCTTTCTGAGTAGATGTTTTCAAGTACCTTCATTTATTCATTTCCGTCGTCTAAAAACACAGGAACGCAGCATATACATAAGAATGGTATAATGTCTGATTTATTCTTCCCAGGTACTTCATGTTAATGCTAGATAAGATGAATTACATTAGTAAAGATGAATTAGTTCCTGAACTGGAAATCAGAAATCTCATCAATATTGACAAATTCTTGACTTCAAATGTGATTCCTGTATGTACAATGTATTTAACGACAAGTATCTTATTCAAATCTAAGAATTAGAATCATTTAGTAAAAGTGTTATGAACTGGATGTTTCTGTATTGGCCCTGTTATAGATTCTCGATCAGCTGTATTGGCCCTGACCCTCGACTACTCAAGTCTCGGGGCCAATACAACTAACATTGAATCTATAACAGGGCCTACATAGAAACAACTAGTAAATAACACTGTACTATGATGTAAGTTTTTTTAATATTTTTTTGCTGGAAGGCATCAAAGCATAAAAATGCCTTTCTAATGTCGTAATTATTTGCCAAATAATTATGATGTTAGAAAGGCATTTTTATGCTTTGATGCCTTCCAGCAAAATAATATGAAAAAAACTTACATCATAATCAGATATACAAATATGCTGGAAATCATATGCTCCTTTATGATATTTTATGAAAAATCTCCAAAAAATTAAACCCTGCAAAAGCTATGTATGTATATATTCTAAGCAAAAGACATTTTAAAACAGGCTTTGTATTATAATAACTGGTACAATGTTTATATTTTTCAGATGGCAAGTGGAGAACAACATTTACATCTATCTGTTAGAGAAAATGACAAAGAAAAACTGGGAGAGCTGTTGGGTGCTGGAGTTGATATAAATTGTTTATTTTATGGATGGACACCCTTACAAGTAGCAATTCAGGAAGGTATCTCAAACTGACAGTAAATTACATAAAAGTATAAATCTATAAATACAAACTTTTTGGCAGAAATTTTAAGCTTGTATGAGACCTGCAGTAAAACTGAATTTTAATTGATGATGATGATGGATGGCTGTTAAACATCCAGTGGCAAATTAAATGCATATTCAAGACAAGAACATGTTAATATGATAAGAGCCGACCAGTCTTTGCTGTTACTCCTTAATGCTGTGTGCTTAGCTGAGAAGCAGCCAATACAAATTTTCAAGTCTTTGGTTTGACCCTGTCGCGCATCAAACTCACAGCCTTCCACACTATAGGTTAGCATGCTACCATGAGAGCAGGGAATCTGTTTAGTTTTAATTGATACGAAAACATTCATTATAAAAGAACTCAATTTACATTAGTGATAAATTCTGACAAAGACATTATTGGAGAAATGTAGGAATCAAAAGGGAAATTTTCTGCAATCAAAACATGGTGGTAGAAATGTGGTTAAAAACCCATAAAGATAGACACAATAAAGACCAAAAGAAAAAGACAACACCTTACAATAGTCCACAAAACACTTTACAAAAAAAACTAAAAATTGAGCAACAGGAACCTCAACCAACATTACATTACCTAGTTTTTCACATGATGAATACTTTTGCTTTCCCTCTCCTGAACAAAAATTATTTATCAATCAAATTTTAATGTATATGTTTTTTTTTTTTAAAGTAGTTACAAAATAAATAAAGTTTATATTTATTTAGATGATTGAAAAACAGAACCGAACAAATTAATAACTGCAATACATATCGAAAGAAAAAAATGTATATACATGTAAAATTGAGAATGGAAATGGGGAATGTGTCAAAGAGACAACAACCCGACCATAGAACAGACAACAGCAGAAGGTCACCAACAGGTCTTCAATGCAGCGAGAAATTCCCGCACCCGGAGGCGTCCTTCAGCTGGCCCCTAAACAAATATATATACTAGTTCAGTGATAATGAACGCCATACTAAACTCCAAATTGTACACAAGAAACTAAAATTAAAAATAATACAAGACTGACAAAGGCTAGAGGCTCCTGACTTGGGACAGGCGCAAAAATGCGGCGGGGTTAAACATGTTTATGAGATCTCAACCCTCCCCCTATACCTCTAGCCAATGTAGAAAAGTAAACGCATAACAATACGCACATTAAAATTCAGTTCAAGAGAAGTCCGAGTCTGATGTCAGAAGATGTAACCAAAGAAAATAAACAAAATGACAATAATATATAAATAACAACAGACTACTAGCAGTTAACTGACATGCCAGCTCCAGACTTCAATTAAACTGATTGAAAGATTATGTCTTCATCATATAAATATCAGGCACAATCCTTCCCGTTAGGGGTTTAGTATCATACCATCATAACATATATGAGAAGAACATAACCCGTGTCATGCCAACAACTGGTTTTTAAATAAATGTGTTTAGTGCCGATGCAAAGACCCTATAAGTGAATCAATATTAACGCCAAAATATGCAATCTTTAATGACCTGACAACAGTATTGTAACTATATCCCTTCTTAATAAGTCTATTTAAAGGTTTTGTTAGCTTCAGAGGCGAATACTGACATTTTTGTGCTTTATAAAGAATATTTCCATAAAAAATTGGATGTGAAATACCTGAACGTATAAGAAGTGTGCATGTTGAGCTATATTTACGAATGATGTCCTTATACCGATAATTAAAATTTAGTAAATGTTTTGACTAGTTTGTGATATCGAAAACCCTGGTGTAATAATTTTTCAGTAATACATAAATTTCTCTCGTTAAAATCTAAAACATTGTTACATACACGAGCGAATATAGATACATATAGATCTATCAAAATGTACAGTACAAATGTGCAATGCTGGCTGGGTGCTGGTAATTTTGTTTATCTCACAAGACCATTCATTTAATCATAAATATGTCAACCATGTCAACAAAATGAACAAACTAATTGGGTTTAAGAAATTTCCAGACTTGACTATAAAACTTGCAAATCTGATCTATAGTATCAAAACGACAGTAAAGAAAACAGATCAGTCATCAAATTTGACAGTCAAATAAAAGCCAATTTTTAATTAAAATCTCTGTGAATAATTTATTCAATAGTTTCCAATGGATGTCATACATAATAAAAATATATTCAAATTTTTACTTATGTAATAAAGGCATCTGTTTTAGTTTTTTCTATTAGGATTATTGGATAAAAGGCTCATAGTAAATGTTATAAATTTGATTAAGTACAGACAATCCAAACGTTTTAAAAAATTGACAATAAATTTACATATTATATAAGTGACATGTTTATTTTTCTATTTTCAAAAAATTAAGTTTACTATAAATTGTTTTTGCAATATCAATTTTGTAAGTTTTGATTTGTTTCACCTAAACAAACATCAATTTAACCATGCAACTCTCTTGTTTGAAGACTTTACCCTCATAATTTTTTTTATGACACAAACAATAAACTTACATAAAGATGGATGGTATCACTTGCAAGTTAGAACAGTTGATAGGCTTTATCATACAAAACAACTTACAAACTAGAACCCCACAATTTTCATGACTTATGTCAATCTATTAGTTTCCACCTATAAAGGAAACATCAATTACCATTTACCATATATATATCACTCATTCATCTGTCTTGGAAAACTAATATCTTGTGTTGTATTAAATATATATGTGTTAACTATATATTTAACAATGGTTGACAGCTACATCCTAAACCAGTCTGACTAAAGCAAGTACCCACTATCACTTGCGTTTGTAGATGGATAGTGGGGGCTGGCTTTAGTCAGACTGATCTTAAACAAGATTTACAATAAACATTTAAACATTCTATTATCATGAACTTTTGACTAACGACCTTTAATTAATTGATAAATATATTTGTATGTTTCCAAGGTAATGAAGATATTGGAGTATTTGTAATAGAGAAAGGTTGTGATTATAATTTCCATGACAGACACAGTGTTACCCCATTTGAAGATGCTGTCAACAGAAATTTATCAAAGGTTAGTATTTTGACTGTTTACAGCAAGGACAGTCTCAGCATGATACATATTAGGGTACTGTACATTAATAAGGGATTGATTCATTCATGGTGCAATTTCTATCACAGTAACTCATATTTGGGTTTTAAGGAGAAGGTTTGATAAGGCTCAAATATGGCCCCTGTATCTAGTTAAATTTCCAAGTAGGATTTAATGGCCAATCACAATGAGTCATAGTAAAGGCAATGACTAGCATGTTGACTAGATAAGAAATAGGTCTTGGTGTTTGAAAATTTAGGTTTCAGCTTTCTTTTTATGATGTTATATTTTTAAAGCATAAATTTTGATTTTTCTCAAATTTCAATGAGTTCATGCCATTTCCATTGTGTTTTTAATCATTAACCAGAAACAAAGTTCATGCATCGAAAAAAAAGGATATTTTAGCATCATGTTTTTTATAACAAATGAGCTGTCTGACTTGAATATTTAATTTTGGGGCTCTGTGCTCTGTTTTGTTTCCTATTCCCTACTTGGGTTGAAATGCAAAATATTTTGTAAAATTTTGTCAAAATCTCTATTTTTGACCTATTCTGGATGTAAATGTCAAAGCTTTATAAGAAAAACTCAAAAACATTTGTTCTATTTCACTTTTTCTCGCACGTATTTCCACCAACCTGATGAAACACTCTCATTTTTGTCCAGGCTGCGACTTTTGTCGCAGAAAGCTTGACAAAGGGATAGTGATCTGGCGGCGGCAGCGTTAACTAACTTCTTAAAAGCTTAATATTTCAGAAGGTAGAAGACCTGGATACTTCATACCTTGTATGCAGATACCTTGTGTTAAGAAGTTTCCATCAATCTTATGTCCATTGTCCTTGACCTTTCATGGTTCAGTGTGTGGTTGAAATTTTTTTTTGACTTTTTTTGGTCATGTGAATTTCTCAATCATTATGAGTAATAGGATAACTATATTTGGTATGTGCGTACCTTGCAAGGTCCTCATGCCTGTCAGACAGTTTTCACTTGACCTCAACCTCATTTCATGGATCAGTGAACAAAGTTAAGTTTTCGTGGTCAGGTCCGTATTTCAGATACTATAAGCAATAGGTCTACTATATTTGGTGTATGTAATGATTATAAGGTGTACATGTCCAACTGGCAGGTGTCATCTGACCTTGACCTCATTTTCTTGGTTCAGTGGTAATAGTTTAGTTTTTGTGTTTTTGTCTGTTTTTCTAATACTGTATGCAATAGGTCAACTATATTTGGTGTATGGAAATATTTTATGATGTACATGTCAGTCTGGCAGGTTTTATTTGACCTTGACCTCATTTTCATGGTTCATTGCTCAATGTTAAGTTTTTTGTGTTTTGGTCTGTTTTTCTAATATTGTATGCAATAGGTCAACTATATTTGGTGTATGGAAATATTTTACAATGTACATGTACATGTCAGTCTAGCAGGTATTATTTGACCTTGACTTCATTTTCATGGTTCATTGCTTATTTAAAGTTTTTGTGTTTTGGTCTGTTTTTCTTAAACATGTTAAACTTTAAGCAATAGGTCAATTATATTTGGTGTATGGAATGATTGTTAGGTGTATATGTCTGTCTGGCAGGTATCATCTGACCTTCACCTCATTTTCATGGTTCATTGGTCAATGTTCAGTTTTCCTGGTTAACTTTGTTTCTAAGATACTATAAGCAATAGGTCAACGATATTTGGTGCATGGAATGATTTTAAGGTGTACATGTCAGTTTGGCAGGGTTCATCTGACCTTGATTCATTTTCATGGTTCATTGGTCAATATAGAATTTCCATGGTTTGGTCTGTTTCTTTTATACTATAAGCAATAGGTTATCTATATTCTGTGTATGGAATGATTGTATTAAAGGTGTACATGTATTTTTGCCTTGGTTTATCTGACCTTGACCTCATTTTCTTGGATCATAAATGTTAATGTGATACTTGTAATTAAACTTTAAATGTAGGACTATCAACATAAAATCAATGGTCAGTATAGTAGTCGAAATATTTCAGCATTTGCAATCTTGTTAAAAAATGAAATGAATAAAAGGGGACATATAGGGCTCTTACCAAACCTTCTCCTTTGTAGATTATTATTTGGTTAATTATCAGTTCATGCCATTATGTAGAAATATTTGATTGTGCTGCTGTATACATCTGTTAGGCATTCTTTTGGAATGATGACTTAAGTTTGCTGTTACAAAAATCGTTGTATTTTGCACAACTGCTGTTAACTATGAAGTATAGTTAATTGTGATAGTTAGTACAAATAAGCAAAATTAAAAATCGGTTCTTACGATGATTTCCAAACTATCAAATTAATTTGCTTAATAAAGAAGACTATAGATATTTTGTGACTTAAATAAAACTGAAAATATAGGCCTGCATGATAATTTCTATCCCCTTATCCAGCAAAGTTATGGAGGGGATATATTGCTTCATAGAGGAATGATTATTTATCAGCTAATGCATGATGCATCATGTTTATCAATAAAGGTCAACTCTTAAATTAAACCATCTTGACAATAAAGATCTTAATATATTGAGATTCAAATTGAAATTTCTTTTTGCTAAGGATTCATTGAAAAAAAAGGTATCAAAAAGTAATGCATTTGACTTTAAATTATTTAATCAAAAAAATTGCAAATTTGAGTTGATTAGCTATAATTTAGGACAGCTTTATTATTTCTTATCAGCTTTTGGTTCAGGTATTATGCACAATGCATGACCCTTAAAAAGTGCAAAATAGAAAAAAAATAATGTTACATCTACTAACTAAATACAGTAAAACCTGTCCAGAAATAGAAGACAGCAATGTGATGAATCATATTGTGATGTATGGAAATGACTATTCCCAGCCTCTAAAGTACAATTAAAAAGACTAGAATATGTAGTTTTATAAAGAATATTCAAAGTTCCTCACTATATATATGCCAATTTAGAGCTTGACATGTATAGACTTTTTGTTTTTTTATGTATTTGAGTTCCTCTCTCAGTGCCAAAGGATCTGGAATTTTTCACACAATTTTGGTCATTTTGAGATGACTCAAAAAGTTGGGGCCCTTTTTTCAAACGTCGAAATTATTAGTACTAGATTCATAGCATCAATGAACTTGTATTGACTGTTTCATCACATTTACCTCATGAATTTTCTTACCGTTTTTCTAAAAACATTCAAGAACAGTTTATGGAATGCAACAGTTTAAAATTGAAATGATTTTAATGACTCAAAATGGTAAATTTCTCAGACATTGCTAACATTTCTTTCGATTTTGAAGATGAAATTAAAACCAGAAGTTTCAGGACAATACTAAAATACAAGTAATTCCTGATTCATTTCCATGATTTGTTCTGTTTATCAAATTCTCGTTTAATTTAGCATGAAATCATTTTGCAATTTACAATTAAGTGTCTAATCTGGTGAAGACAGTTTTTGGTTATAACATAGTAAATAAAGCACACGTTTGACTTGTGAAAAACTACATAAAGTTTTAATTTTTAAATCAGAATTGACGATTGTCTATGCTGAAAACTAATTAAATAATGAAGAAAGTTGTCATGGAATTTTAATTTCTTTATAATATAAGTTTTGAGTTTGTGATCACAGGTGTGAATTAAAAACACAGTGATTAGCGATCATTAGCCAATAATTACAGGAGGCATACATATGGTTATTAGGAGGGCCCTCAAGATTATTATACTATACTGGAGTGGCAGTTTTATTACAGGACAGGGATTACTAAACAAAACAAGTGCAAAATGGCGATCAAGAAACCCGATCTCACTGAAATGACCCAAATTATAAAAAATAATTGTCCCAAGTCCCAAACTGCCATTTAGGACAAATAGCTTTCAGTTTAGGTCATGACTGGCAAATATAAAAATAAGAAGATGTGGTTTGATTGCCAATGAGACAACTCTCCACAAGAGACCATCTGACACAGAAATTAACAACTATAGGTCACTGTACGGCCTTCAACAATGAGCAAAGCCCATACCTCATAGTCAGCTATAAAAGGCCCCGAAATGACAAATGTAAAACAATTCGAAAGAGAAGACTCACGGACTGATTTATGTACAAAATAATTAAAACAAATAACTGCTGAGTTACAGGCTCCTGACTTGGCCGGGACAGGCACATACAGAATGTGGCGTGGTTAAACTAGTTTGAAGGTGCGCCAACCCTCCCCTAACCTTGGACAGTAGTGTAACAGTACAACATAAAAACAAACTATAAAAATCAGTTGAAAAGGGCTTAACTCATCAGATCAATACAAAGCAGAAATACATCCAACAAAAACACAGAGTGGACGTGGCAGGGTACTTATATACATCCACACAACAAATAAGACATCTAAGACTAAAATATCAATCAGTACACATCCAATATCCAATGGATTTAGTGACGTCATTAACAGTCAGAGAAAAACATGACCTTGTGCAATGCCAAGATACAGGTATCGACAGATTGTAGAGCCATGAATGTGCATATGTATATAAAAATGATATTTAGTTTGATTTTAATTTACTGATAACAAAATCAATATTGATACCTATAAATACAATATTCAAAGATCTAATTTTAGTGTTGAATCGGTAACCTTTTAGAATAAGTTTATTTAAAGGATCGATAAGTTTACCTGGATCGTATCTAAATTACCCGGCTCGGTAAACAACATCTCTGTAAAAATTAGGATGTGCTATCCCGTTAAAAATAATTTTTCTATAGGTACAACCAAACTTCCAAACCAAATCATTATATCTATTGAAGAATTTAGTAAAGGTTTTAAGTAATTTGTGGTAACAAATTCCCTGACTTAATAATTTACCAGTAGTTCATAGATTACGTTCATTGAAATCCAAAACAGACACGGGCATAGCGAACGAGTTGTGATATATAAACACTGTAAGTTGATGCCAAAGGAACATCACGTCAAAAAAAGTGACTGTTTCCAAACCCTTGTATATGCCCCATATTAACATTTAATCATATACAGATATTGAATATTCTGTTTAGATTGTAGGAGCATTGATATCTAAGGGAGCTAAGCCAAATGAGCCATTATCTACTGGTAATTTGGCAGTTTGTGTAGCAGCTGAGAAGTCATACAAAGAACTACTGCAAACTCTCATAAATGGTGAGAAAAAAATACCTTTTCAGTACAAGAATGTATTTGTTGAGCCTTTTTTGACTGGAGTGACTTCTTCAGATGGAGGGGAGACATTAGTTTTAGTCCACTAAGGGAAACAGTTCTGCCTATAGTCATTTACAAATTTGTTGTTGAACAGCTATGGTACCTACTTTATATAAAAAAGTATACCGTTTATGGTTTAACTCATAGCCTCTTAAATTTTTCAGGTGACAAGGAATAGTTATCTGAAAATATCAGTACTCATGATTCTGTCTTTTCAAATTTAGAGCATAATGATTTAACCAGTCCATTAAAATAGGGTTATGTAATCAGATCTTTGATGGTTTGTTAAATTTATTCACAAATTTATTAGACTTCGGACAATTTAGAGCTTGACATTTTATGTAGACACCTCTCTATTGCTAAGGATGAATTGTTGACCTTTAGATGTCTTTTGGTTATTTGTATTGTTTTAATCTTACTTTCTCATGCATGGTTACCCCACATCTCCTTTCATTCATATTGTCCTATTTTAACTCCAGTGTGCTTTGGTAATTTTCCTTCAAATTTTTTCAGTAAAATTTACCTGAATGAAAAATAGACATTTTAGACTAATTGGTACAGGGATATTAAACCTATATGAATAACAGCTGCATCATTACATCTATTCTATTTTTAGGTGGTGCTAGTGTAAATTCAGTAAACAATGAAGGAGCAACACCACTGTACATAGCCTCAAAAGAAGGACACAGTGAATTGATACAAACATTATTGAATGCTCGAGCTAATGTCAACATGCCATGTGAGAAAGGTGAACAGCACACACCATTGATAGCTGCTACAGCTGCAGAGCAGTTTGATGTTGTTAAATTATTGTTAAAGGTATAAAGACTATTTTAAGAAATTTTTTTAATTTGTTCACACTCACAGCTGTACATGTGACATTTGCCATTGTTTTTACCATATAGATGTTGTATATGTTGGTATGTCATGTATGTCTGTCAAGATTAATACATTATTCAAGACCATTTTTGAGAAAATTTTTGTAGTACAATTATCTACTTTAATTCTTTCATGATAAACTAGCAGAGAATATCTATATCTGTTTGGGGCTTAGAAACACGAAAGAAATGACTTTTTTTTATACTGCATTGCTTTATATTATAAGAAAATATTAAATATACTTTTGAAGAAAAATGTTCTGATTTTTTTTACATGAAGTCTACAACATATAACATAACTCTGATTAACCCTGCTCTCTTTTAATATTACTATTATGAATAAAAATTGTGGGATGTTTATTGATTTCTTTGCAAAAAAAGCTTACCTAGTCAGAGAATTTATATCAGAATGTTCAAGGTTGTAATATTAAAACTTTATATCTTCAAGTAGAATAGTACCATTAACTGATAAATGTATGAAAAGGCTATGGTATATTCCAGAGTCCAAAACTATATGTCACTGTATGGCCTTCCACAATAAGCAAAACCCATACTGTAAAGTCGGCTATTATAAGGCCCAAACATGATGAAATGGAAACAATTTAAAAAAGAAAACTAATGGCCTGATTATGATAAAAGAATAAACAAAAAAACAAATAAAACAGACAGCAACAATAAAAAAAACACTAAATAACAAGCTTTTCAACATCCTCATTTACAACTTTTCATGGAATAGTTGAATACACAATTATAAAGTAAGTGAAGTTTTGAATGGTACATTGTATTAACGTCATAGAATCATTGTTGTTATATTACAATTCAATGGTTCACTGTGTGTGGACAGAAATGGATGTTTAAAGAATTTTATTTTTATTTTGTTATACCAATTATGTGTGTACCGAATAATCAATTGTATACCATGTATCTTTCAGAATAACTGTGACATCAATGCTCCAGATAAGGATGGATGGACACCATTATGGCATGCCTATGGGAACAATGATGAAGACAGTATGAAATTGTTACTGAAATCAGGTGCAGATAAGAATGTTAGAAATGCAGATGGAGTTACAATAATGGATGAAGCAAGAGACGCAGATGATGATAGCATGATAGAATTATTACAAAGTTTTTCACAAGCATGGACATGAAAGAATAGTAACATTTGAATGTGAAAGAATCTCGCAAGTTTATAAACAATAATGCTGATCAGACAGAGTAAACATGTGTAGCACATGCTATTGTGTGCATCACAGATTGCAGCAACTAAATAAGAAATGATGTCACAAATTTAAAGTGATAAACATTTGACCAAAATTAAAGATGTTCTAACTTTTAAAATGAATCTTATGAAGAAATTGTCAAAGTTGTGAGATCAATTTAATCTACATTTCACAAATGTATATATAATCCAGATCGGTCTTAAAGACAGTGGTTTCTTTTTTTTCAATTTTAATGAGAAAATACAATTTATAAAAATTATTTCTATTCATGATCTCTATAATATTTATGATGGATAAATGAGATACTTTAATATAATAAATTTATTTAACGCTAAATACCGTAACTACTGAGATTACTAAGATATTTAGACTCAAATAGTGAAATATCTGTTCATTCTTATCAAGATTTTCTACTTATGATTATTGAGTTTTTAACAGCCAAATTACTATATGTACTGTTTAGATATTTAATGTGGATGTTACCGAGATATATACCAGTACTCTTAAAATGAAAAAAGACAACTATTATACTTTTGTTACAACAACCATTTTGTATAAAATCCCAAATATGAGGGGCCTGATGGGGGGCTCTCATCACGATTCACGAGTTGATTTTTTTGTCAATCACGATTCACAGAAAATAAATTTCCATGATCACGGATCACGAAAATATAAAAAAAAAAAAAAAAATCTGTAGAAAAACGGATCACGATAGCGAAAATGCGCCAATCACGAAGAACAAAAATAACCCATCAGGCCCCTAAAATATGAAAAAAAAAATGTGGGCCGTACAAATAAGATGAAAGCTACTAGGTTAGCAATGTGTTTGAAGAAAAAATTGCAATGCAAAAGTTTATTGTATTTTGTTATTAAAATGAATTATCAAAGCTATTATATGTCATGTTAATGAACTGCCATGATCCTGTTCAAACTGATAAAATTGGAGGATTTGTTCAATCATGTTATAACTACTGCAGAAAGTAATATCAAATCAAGGTTTATGTTAGTGGGCGACTAGGATGAAGATGTTACTATCATGCCTTAATTTGCTTTTCCTGGTCGCCAAAAGAGATTTCATGTCATCTTGTTTTTACAAGTCCCTCTTTCTGTCTATAATTTTCCATTTTAATGTAATAGTAACTTTTCATTAAAAAGTAATGAAATTTAAAAAACAGACAATTTTTTTCTGATCGTATATTTATGACTGATCATATATTGTTTCAAAGGAACATTGTTTTATGCAAATCAAGCATGATGTTTTGTTTCAGCTCTTTTGTTTTACCTGTTTACCTGTACAGTCAGGTAAATTTTGTCATTCTGCCATTGTTGTTACTTTATCCCCTGCAAACAAATTTTGATGACATATATATATAGGAATCATCCTGTTTTAGTATTTCCGGAATTATGAACCCTGAAATTAAAAATATCATACTCAACTCGCAAATATGTGAGATGGACTGTTAATGACATGACCTATGAGAATTTTGAAAGCCCCGCACACTGAAAAAATATTGTGTTACTGTAAAGATCAAGCATGAACCTAGAGGAACCAAAAAATGCCAAGAGCCTTTATCTCCCACCTGGAATTTTTACATAAAATTGATACAATGCAACAAGAATATAAAGGAATTAATAAAATTGGTAAATTAAGTGCAATAATTTTAGTCGTCCAAGACTTTTTTTAAGATATTGTAGTACTGGAAAGGACAAACCATATATTATTCATGCCAAGTATTTCTTTATTTGAAACAAATGAAACTTCTGCGCAATTTTTTGTATGACCACAAAATATTTTGAGTTCGTATTATGTTAAGGCGATGCCTGCTTCGGCGTCTGAAGACATTTTGGTATGCAGACAATAACTTGAGTATAAGTGTATGGATCTCTATGAAATTTTAGCACAAGGTTTCATACAACAATAGGAAGGTTGGCATTGATTTTGGGGGGTAATGTCGTAGCTGTTCTGTAATTAGGGGCCAAAAAGGGTCCAAAAACAAGCATTTTTAGTGGTTCATAGACAATAAATTGGTTCACAGACAATAACTTGAGTAGAAGTGTATGGATATGTATGAAATTTTAGCACAAGATTCCAAACCACAATAGGAGGGTTGGGATTAATTTTGGGGTTATTGTCGTAGCTGTTTTGTAATTAGGGGCCAAAAACAATTATTTTTCTGGTTTGCAGACATTTACTTGAGTATAAGTGTATGGATCTCTATTAAATTTTAGCACAAGGTTCCATACCACAATAGGAAGGTTGGGATTTATTTTGGGGGTTATTGTTGTAGCTGTTTTGAAATTAGGGGCCGAAAACAATTATTTTTCTGGTTCACAGACAATAACTTGACTATAAGTGTATGGATCTCTATTAAATTTTAGCACAAGGTTCCATACCACAATAGGAAGGTTGGGATTTATTTTCAGGGTTATTGTTGTAGCTGTTAATAATTAGGGGCCAAAAAAACAAGCATTTTTTATGTTTCAGGGCAATAATTTGTGTATGAGAGTATGGATCTCTATGATATTTTACCACAAGGTTCTATACTTCGAAAGGAAAGTTGGGATTGATTTTTGGGGGCATGGCCAAACGGTATAATAATTAGGGGTCGGAAATGGGGCAAACAAATTTTTTGGTTTCTGGACAATAACTTGAGTATAAGTCTATGGATTGCTATTTAATTGTACCACAATGTGTTATACCATAAAATAAAGCTTGGGATTGATTTTAGGGTTTATGACCTTAATGGTTTAGGAAAAAGGGACCAAAACAATACTTTCGTAATACTTTGTATGAATTGTTTATTTCTTGACCAATTTCAATGGGGTTTAATTCAAAATCTTTAATTCTTGGGGTTCTTTAAAATGCTTAATCTTACTGGGCATTTAGGATTTGGATTTTTTTACTTTGGGCACAGTTTTCAAGTAGGTCCAAATTGGGGTCCAAAATTAAACTTCGTTTGATTTCATCTAATAATTGAATCATTGGTGTTCTTTGATATGCCGAACCTAACAGTGTATTCAGATTTTTGATTTTGGACCCGGTTTTCCAACTGGTCCAGATTAAGGTCCAAAGGGTTCAAAATTAAACTTTCGTTTGATTTCATCAAAAATTGATGTATTGGGTTTCTTTGATATGCTGAATCTAACCATGCATTTATATTTTGGATATTGGACCATAAAAGGTATATGTCCAATTTTTAAGTTTTTATGTTCTTAGACCACATTCCTTCTTTGTCGAAACTTATGCTATGTCAAATATTTAATCACAATCTTAACTCAGAGATGTATTGCACAATTGATAGAAATTGAAAGTAGAATCATAGTGAAAAAAAATTATAGTCCAGCAGATATAAGAATAATTGATGACTTTATGGTAAAAGCATGAAACTCAGCATAGTGAAAGATTAAGGGGTATAAACAAAAGCCACGAAAAAAAATCCAAATTAAAGATGGCTGATATAAGGTACTGGGAATACAACATCATACACTTGATGAAGTCTACTAATATGCAAGAGTTCAGTAGATATCACAAATTGAAGGAAATACATTTAAGATATGCCAGTTATTATTTTTTCAACTTTATACATAATTAATCAAAATGGTGTCCAAATTCAAAATGACACCGTCAAAAATGTCAGAGTTTGACCGTATTAATATATATACACTCTCAATGTAGTATAGAAAGTTAACAAATTTGTGAAACTAATCATATGATGTAGACACAGGCCAGCAATATATTAACTATACCAGGGGACATAGATTATGTTTACAAATGGCGGCAAAAATTCAAAATGGCGCCGTAAAAAATTGACATTTTTTTGTAATAATGTGGTATAAAATGATATAAAGATAATGAAACTTTTATTTGGATACAAATGCAAACCAACATATTATTCTTTTGTAAGAGGTAGCATAAACTATGAAATAAAAATGGCCGATACAATTTAAAATGGCGTCTCTGACAAGGTCTAAATTTACACAGTTATACTTAATGTTTACACGACTTCAGAAAATCTTTCAATTTACTGTCAATGAAAAATATGTATGAAACCCTACAAAGACAACTATTTCTTTTTTCAAAATGTGAGAAAAAATAAAAATGGCGCCTCAAAAGTAATTTTTTTGCATAACAACTTTATAGAAAATATTCAAGTTATTGATAATTGAAAGATATCTAAATGCAGGATAATCAAAATTTAGCACAGTCTCAATCAGTTTCTCACAGTCCGGTGAGCAGTTATATAATAAATGCTTTGCATTTCAATGCTGCTTTCAAGCATTTACATGCTCCTCGACATCCTTTCGTACAGCCAAGATGGATAAGCCATTACAAATTCTGCAAGCCCTGACCAGAATGGTACCCACATACCATGAAGTGTTGGCCAACCAAATAAATCTGGTGATGGCATACCAGGATTTTCGACTAAACAATTACCCCTGAATAACACTACCTTGGTAGGCTACATGTTTCGTATGTTGTTGTTGTGCATCTCGTGTCGGAGGAATATTGTCAATTGTTCTTGTCTTCTATATTAATAGATGTTTTCTTAATTCATTCACTGTATTAAATTTACTAGACCAATTACTAGTATACAGAAGCACAACATACCGTTCTATAACTTTGTTACTATTAATATTTACACTTCATTTGGATTTTCAATAATCTGCATAAATGCATCTGACAATTCCTCATATCTATACGGACCATGTGTCCCAAGCTGATTTTTTTATCCTTCCCCACAAAAGCTGATACTGTGTCACAACCGGTGAAAGCATGGACCAGTGGTAAGGCTTTCTATTTCAATGGTCCTAGAGCAATTATGGCTTATTCCATGAACTGAAATATATCGGAAGTTCTTTCCAGTGCCAAAACCTATCCACAACTGTTCAATCTGCAGTCAATTGAAACAAGACACAGACAATACAACAACATCTCTATAACTGTTCTGGTCAATATTCTGTTGTGACCTTTTTCTAGGCAGCATCTAAGGCAAACAACAACATTCTGGTATCTGCATCCTCAGGTGAACATGAGCTCAATAATTCATAGCTGTGTTTTGCATGTTCCACTAAAGAATTGTCCATTAGATTGACTAAAATTTTGTCCGCAGTGAAAGAGGGTCTTCAGAAATACCGTGAAACTGTTTACTCGTGTAGTGGTATTAACCATATGTGGATTCTTAAAAACTCTATTAAAGAACTTCTGGATAATTTTAAATCTCGGTCTTTTTCTGAAATTAGTTCTATCAAAACTTTTGATTTTTCAACCTTGTATACCACCATTCCCCATGTGAAATTGAAAAACCGTCTAAAAGAAATAATCCACAATGTTTTTCATCATAAAAATGGTAGCATACGCTATAAATTTATTACTTTGGGATACCATAAGGCATATTTTGTTAATAGTGAACAAAAGGGTAAAACATGCTACACAGAGGAACAAGTGATCAGTATGCTGGAGTTTCTTGTTGACAACATATTTGTTGAATTTGGAGGTAGACTTTTTCAACAAATTGTCGGCATTCCTATGGGAACGAACTGTGCGCCTCTCCTTGCCGACCTCTTCTTATTTTCATATGAATCGGAGTTCCTTCAGACACTTGTCAAAAACAAGAAGATCAAAGAAGCCAGGTTATTTAATTTCACTTTCAGATATATTGATGATGTTCTTTCCATTAACAATCCGAACTTTTCTGATTGGGTTCCATTAATATATCCACCTGAACTAGAAATTAAAGAAACAACAGACACGGCTTCCTCCGCCTCATTTTTAGACTTATACCTCGAATTTGACATACACAGTCATCTCAGTACCAGAATCTATGACAAACGAGACGATTTTAATTTTGAAATTATCAATTTCCCCCACCTTAGTAGCAATATACCAACTT